ATGATATTTTCGATCATCCAAACTCAGTTCTATGACGAGATCTTGTACTAGCCGTGTGCTGTCCTGGCTTCTAGTTCAAAGATCGGACGCACCCACTATTTCATGTTCTTCTAGCGTTGTTTTCCCTTTGTTTTCGACACTCATACATTGCAAAGGAAACATGCAGGTGACCAGAATAAAGAGAAACAACTAGTTATACTATATATGATGTTGCAAGTGTTATAAAGAGGTTTTGTTGTTAAATGTTTAAAATGCAATAGTTAAATAGAAAGCAGAAAATGAAAAGCAAATCTCAAACTGTAATAATCTGCCTTAATCTCATCATGACAAATTAAAACCTTCAGTGACAAGAACATTGTTCATTAAAAACATTCTAGGAGCACGAATTTGTATTTCACTGAGTTTGTACATTTTGTGATATTTTTCTGTGCAAGATTATTTGCCACATCGAACAATAATGCCAGGTTTAAGAAATTCCCACAAAGATTAACGGAGAAAAGTAGGTTGGTAGTGTAAATGATCAATTGCAATATTTTATATAAAAAAGACGTAAACATTGTAATTTTGCGTAATGAGGGCTGTCTGTATAATGTAAGTTCAGTCCCGTAATTAATGAATGTTAAGAACATATATATTTTACATAAATCAACTGGGGGTTATTATACGCAAACGATGCAAACAATGCTAAGCACCAGAAGCGCATTCTCCAGTTGTGCTCAGTCTACCCTCACAGTTACAGTACAAGTTAACTTTTAAATCTCATTCACAAACACTCCAAGTAAACAGAAGTGTAGCAGCTCTCGTAAGCTGCTATTGTTTTATTATTGTATCAGGTGTTATTGTTTTAGGGCTAGGTGCATTGTTTCTGTGTTTGTTCTGTTGTTCTCTTAAAGGGTATCGAGCCATTCATGTGAGACCCAGCGAGAGCATCTACCCGACCCCAAATAAAACACGCCCTAAGACAAAATTGACCACTGTTGTATTGGGAAAACTAGTCTAGTATTTATTGCTTCCCCTAATAAGTTTTTCTTGTCAACTTTGTCGGTTGCTTTACAGTAACTACACTCCCTGCATGAGTATGGTTTCAAACCAGACGAATATATTTTATAAAAATATCGAGGCAGAAATTTGCAAAAATGTCAAGAATATACCAATACTAAATTCGAGACCGAGATTTTTAAAAAAACATAATTTTGTAAGTTGAAAATTTGTATATACAATTATATGTTTTAAACTAAACCATATAAAATTTTTCCTTTTCTCTGACCGGCAGAACTATAGTAAAGCAGCAACAAAAACAGCACTAGCCGTACGTTTGATGCCAATAACATTTCTGCAAGAAGTTATGTGCGTCATATCAGGCTTTGATACCTGCAGGCTGACTCCAACATTACTTTAACTTCAACCAGACACCAAATATATTCGAAAACAGAAATGGCACACGCAATAATCTAAAAATATTCACAAGAATATTTTCAGTCTATACGGTGAACGTTAAGTCTGCAAACGAGCCAGGTGGCCCACCAGGCCGGAGTTTATCCCGGTTTCTGTAGCATGAAGCGACTAGGAGTATTTCTACTCCCCCCTGGATAGGATGCTAGTCCATCGCAAGGTTACCCAGTTTGACACCTGGGTGGAGAGAGGCACTATGAGAGTAAAGTGTCTTGCCCAAGAACACAACACAACCCGGACCGCTCGATCCGAAGACGAGTGCACTAACCATGAGGCCACCGTGCCTCCCACTTTTCAGTCTATAAAAATCGGTAGAAAATAAGACCATTCATCCTGGGCCGGAAAAACAATATTCTTATAAAAAGAAAAAAGAGTGTAAGCCGTAGGAAACTTATTTTCTACTCTATTTTTCTTGGTACAATATTCCTGGGAAAATCCGACTGATATTAAGGAAGGCGTGACCAGACACTCTCTTAGCGTGACTGGTCACACCAACTTCCATTTAAGTAATTTTATATTCAAATTTTTGAACCGACCGCTGTCTCGAGTTGCCACCCACTTTTTATCACGAATCTACACGGTCAAGCAACCTCAAACGCTCCTGGTTTAAACTACGTTGATGTCAGTAGTACAGAAATCATGTCTGTCGTCGAGAGAAACTGGCAAACAACAAGACCCACCATCAGAGAAAGAAGCAAGGTTATGTTCAACAACAATCTCTTCAGCGATGTGAAGTTTGTTGTGCAAAAGGCCGCTCAGGGCAAAAGTGAAAATAAACAAGTGATTCCTGCTCACAAGTTTGTGCTGTCGATTAGCAGTCCTGTGTTTGAAGCCATGTTTTATGGTGAGCTAGCGGAGACTACTGACTCTATTGAACTACCTGACTGTGAGTACGACAGTCTTTTGGAGTTGTTTCGTTACATGTACAGCGATGAAGTGATCTTGAGCGGAAGTAATGTGATGGGAGTGTTGTATTTGGCGAAGAAATACATGGTGCCTTCACTGGCTGATAAATGCATGAAATATCTGCAAGATAACTTAGATCCATCGAATGTTTTCAGCATCTTGCCCTCTGCTCAGAAATTCGAAGAGAAAAAGCTGGTGGATCGATGTTGGAAACTGATCAGCAAACAGACAGACGAGGCTTTGAAATCAGAATGTCTTGAGACCATTGAGAGGTCGTTACTTGAAGCAGTAGTCAAGCGCGACAATCTGAATGTTGAAGAGATAGAGCTGTTTAAAGCTGTTGACTTGTGGGCGACAAAGGAATGTGAGAAGCAAGGTTTAGCGGCAGATGGGAAAGCAAAAAGAAGAATTCTTGGAGAAGAAATCATTAAAGCGATACGTTTTCCAATAATGGATGAAAAAGATTTCGCTAGTGTGGTTTTAGACAGTAAAATATTAACAAAAGAAGAAATCGTCAGTGTCCTCAAACTTCGGAATTCAGTCCCGAGTCCGTCGAAAGAATTTTCAAAAACTAAAAGATCAGGTTCTGAAGGTGATATTCAACGATGCTGTAGATTTAACTCGTTATCTGGTTGCGGATTGAAAGCTGATGGCCCCTCGATAGACCATAATATCATATTTTCTGTGAACAGAGATATCAAGCTACTCGGAGTGTGCTTATTTGGTAGTGAGAATAATACTTATTCGGTAGAATTGAAGGTAAGGGCGTTGGGAAGCAGTACAGTTTTGGCGCTTAGAACTGGGCAATTTTCCTCGGAGCTTTTACAGGGGGAGAAATTTAACTATTTCGGTTTTAAAGTCTTGTTTGACAGCGTTATTTTAAAGAGAAACACCGAATACCATGTAGGTGCTAAAGTAACTGGCCCTAATTCTGCCTGTGGAGACAACGGTGATAGCACTGTTACATGTTCTGGAGTAACTTTTACATTTTTAGATATTGAGGATACGTTTGCATCTAACCTATTGGATCGGCTACGTAACATTACAACCGTTCAACCGGGACAGTTTCCTGCATTATTGTTTACTCTTTAAATACATATTACTTCAGGACAATTAATTTAGCTCATTTGTCGCAGATTTAAAAAAAAACCTTCAAGTTGTGGATGTTCGTTTTTTCAAAGAAAGGAAAATTGCGACTGCTTTCAAAATTAAAGCTTTAAGCTCAAAAACTGTTTTCCATCAGAAACAAAAGTGAGATGTATGCACAAAAGAGCAATTTTCGTTGCCGGTTTGAATTCGCTTTTTACTTGGAACTCTCTAAGAGAACATTTTTCACCAGGAGTTCGAGTAACAAGTGGACAAAAGCCTAGTACCAAGATTATTTACATCGTATTGCAAACTTCTGTGCGACTGTTTTAAATATCTTCTCAAACTGAAATAATTTCTAGCAACACCAAACGCCGAAAACGAATGATGAACTTCATATGAAACACTTGAAAGTACTGGTGAAATGAAGTTGATGATGAAATTTTGCCAGTGTTTGCACAAGTTCTCTGAACTTTGAAATTTATTTTCTCTCGTTCCCATGGGAAATTGTTTTCGGTGTTATTTCAGGCAATTATTTATGTATTTAGCTTTGAGAAAATGTAAAAATGACTGTAAAATACTTTAAATTATTCTGGTACCAGATTTTTGTCCACTAAAACCTGAAATTGCTCGATTTTCTATCGGATTTCGTCT